CCCCAAAACCCCAAAACCCCAAAACCCCAAAACCCCTTTGAGAATTTACCATCTTGAAAAATTAGACTATTTAAAATCCTGAATTAGCATGATTTACATATCCTTCTTGATAGTACTCTAGAGTGGATTATGAGAGTAGTAATCCTAACTTACCTTGGTTGTTCGTTCCAGTGTGTTCTGGAGTTACTATTGGGTCTTGAATCTCTTCTTTAGGGTCTTCATGATACTCTTGATCCGTATCAATTTCATTGTCCAAGAGGATTTTATTGAAATTCTGACAAAGAGTTTCCTGGAGATAATTGTCATTATCAATGTCTACTTCAGGATTTTGTTCGAGTATATTTTTCACATAATTTACCATTTCAATGGTTTGATCAGAGGTAATATGATGGTTTTCTTCAAAATATTTAATACTAGCCTCTTCAATTTCAGCTTCAGTATACTGATTTTCTGCTTGGTACTTTTGTTCTAACTCTGCTATTGTCCAATTTAAGTCCTTTAACTTTTCTTCTTTATTGGAACGGAAAGTAATTCTCTTAGCAACATTAATGCATCTTTCATGGAAGAATTCATCTAACTTTTCGGGAGTACTCACGTCTACGATAAAAGTAGGAACTGATTGTTGGTGGTCTTGCTTCTTATTGTTGAAGTTCCAATCTCCTCTTTCATTATTATTCATTCTATGTCCAGTATTATTATAATGATCTCTATTGTTCATATGCTGTTGAAGAGGAGGGCTTTCGGTATGAAAATTCATATGATTATGATGATTCTGCACAGGAGTATTATTTGTGTTGATCATTCCTTCAATATGAGGGTTTACTACTTCATTATGAAGATTTTGATTCATCATAAACTGCATTGGATTTTGAGCCATATTTGGATACATTCCGAACATTGATATGTTCTGAGGATTGATATTTCCTTGCATCATTCCAGGAGCGTCTATGTTTATTTTTAATTTAGTCTTTATAATTTTGAATTAGAATTTGTTCTAACTTACGGTTTTGATTTACAAATTGATATTGAGACATTTGCTGAATCTGTCCCATTATCTGGTTGACAGGCATTGTTTGAGGATTCATATCTAGAACTTGTTAGAAGTGTACACTCTCTTCAAACTTACTATGCTCTTGATAGTTTGTATCTAGCCCTACATTTGGGGAAGTAGGCTTGCTGAATCTCCCTGTCTTTTGAGAAGGGATTCCTAGTAACTCTTTTCATTTTTCTTTACTTTCACAATTTTCTAAAGTGTCCTGCTTCTGAACATGTTGATAGTGAGCAGCATTTTCCTCCTATAGATTAGTCTTATTGTTTACCCTATTGAATCTCTCTTTATGTAAGTTTTTCTTATGATTTGACTCAATTGTATTTTTTAACTTCTCTTTATAATTAGGCTCGGCTTGAGTATTTTGAATGTTCTGAGAGGGCTTGTCCTTTTTATTTTTTTGTTTCTTTTCTTTCTGGACCTCCTTTTTCCCTTCTTTTTGGTTCTTTGCTTGAGCTTTCTTATTTTGCTGATTAGGTGTCTGTGTGTTTGTATTTACTGCAGAGGATTCCTTTGGATTATCTTTCTTTTTATTTCCGAGAGTCTCTTTTGTTTGAATTTTTCTCACCAGCTCTAGAAGGAGATTTGACCTCCTCAGCAATGAAAGGATCTTCACTTTGTGAGTTACTATTTTTGTTTGGAGAAGGCTCCTTTAGGATCTGTCCATCTTGTTTACTTTGAGAATCTTTTGTTCCTAAATTTGAGATTTCTTTCAAATTCTCTTGATCAAGTAATTTTGCAATTCCAAGATTCCTCTGAGCATCAATAGTTTTAGGAGAGCCTCCTTCGTTATTTTTCATAAAAAATAAGCTTGGATCACTCTTGATAATTGTAAGAATGTCATCTTTCCAATTAGTAAGTTTATCTCAGCTTAAAACCATATAGTGAAGAATGGTGTTTCCTAAATTTTAAAAATTGAGTTTACCATAATAATCCTTTTGACAAAGATCTAGCAAGTCAATCCTTTTAAAAAACTCTTTTATTGATTTGGCCTTAATCTTTATCAGATCTTTCCTTTTCAAGAAATAGAGTAACGCATCTGTAATAATCCCATTATCTTCAGGTTCAAAGTTATTTAGCATATACTCAATTACATCAAAATTATCTCCATTTCCGTCTGCAGCATAACGAAAACAGCCTCTTCCTTTAGAATCTATAAACTTGGTATCAATAAGCTCAGTGTCATGATCGCTAAAACTGTTTGACGAGTTCTAACTGGCTTGATCCTCATGCTTGCAAGAAGAGTTTGCCTATGACATTCTTGTTCTCCTGAGAGTCAGGCTCTAGATTACACAGCAGCATAGATAAGACAAACGCGTAGCAGTCTTTGGCTTCGCTATTAATGTTATCCTCAAGTAGAGTTTCCATAATCCTTATAAGAAGGTCCTGTAATGGCTTTTCTTGGCTGATGTACTGGCCTATTTCATTTTCATTGCAGTAATTACTCAGGCCAAGCCAGTCTCCTTTTGAAGAGTATGCCTGGATCTTAGCCAAGTGAGTTTTGAGAGGTGTTGGGGTTTGCTCCATTTTTATGTATTTGTTATTATTATAATTTAAGGGGTTTTGGGGTTTTGGGGTTTTGGGGTTTTGGGGTTTTGGGG